TTCGATTGTATCTAAACCACCTTCTTGAGTTGAAGTATTATTGTAAAAGTATCCAGCGGCATTTAAATGTGAGCTCTTTGCGTTTTGTGAATATGAGAGCTCATGTGAAAAATAGGTTTTGTAAGCATAAAGGGAATTTGAATTGAACACTTCTCTTCCATTAACACTTATTCGCATATTATTAATAAATGTTTGTCCTATAAGCTGTATTGGAGAAACATTGTCTGCGACGGAAAGATTTACAAGTTGTCCACTTTCATTTTCTTTTCGAATTCGAAATTCAGTAAATAAATAACATTTAGTCAAATCAATATAATTTTGACTTGCATGAATTTTAAAATGGTAAGGTGTATCAGTGAGTGGATTGCTTGGCAGAATTTCAAAGACTTTGGATGATGAAATACTTACATTTGTAGGTGGAATTTGAAAAAAGTCTAAAGCATTGGTAATTGAGTTAATACTATCGTTATCAATTTTGTGAAAGGCCATTTTAGTAAAGACCAAAAACGTCTGATTTTACTCTTTTTTTAATCGGTTTACCAATTAATGTTTGATAACTAGGTAATTTTCTCCCTTTTATACCCTTTTTTCTAACAAATCCAGAACCAAATTGTTTAGGTAGGCCTCCCTTCTCCAGTATAGTATCTACACCCTTCTTTCCTTCACTGATGAAAGCTTCTTTGATTGGTTCTCCCTGACTAACTCTTTCAAGAACGCGTTGCCCTGTGTTAATTGCTTCTGACTTTACAGTATTTCCAACATTACGAAGAACAGGAAGAAAGAAACGCCATAGTCCGCGCATAACATCACCGACTCCAGCTCCTTTCTGAATGCCATATCCTCTTTGGAAGGGGGAAGACCCTCGAAAATAATCATATGATATTTCTCCACCACCGGACATCTCATTAGGATTGTTTCGGACAAAATCGTCATATCCTACTGTACTAGTATCAAAAACAACGTGCACCATTTTTTAATAAATAAAATTTATTTTAGAATTTAAATAATTACAAACACTATTTATATACACTTTGAAAGAAAATCAAAAATTTATTACTTTTTTAAAGATCAAGACAATGAGTACAGTACCAAAGGAAAATGGTACAAGTCTTCCATTATCCATCGTTCTTATTTCAATCTCAATTTCGTTAACTTCCTTTGGTAAAACACGAGCATATATTGGTGAATCATAAATGTTTTCATTATATTCTCCTGGTTTTGCACCGGCCACAGAAACTACACGTAAAAGTGAACTTAGACTATTACCAATTATCATATTTTCTGTTAGTCCTTTTGTATAAACCGCAAAACTTGAAAAACCACCCCTTAAGTCACATCCATACTTTGCAATTTCTCTGTTTTGGACCATACTTGAGTTTTCAAACCCCAAAACATATCCAAGTTGAGGCGAAAATGATAAATATTTAATGCTTGTATGAGTAAATTGTACCTTAAAACGTTCAAAATCCTTGCGATATAATATTTCTATCGAATCAATTATTTGTTTTTGGACTGAAGCATCACCTTATCATTCTTTAGTCGCCCATACTGTCTTAAAAGAGCGGGCATGTTCGGTAAATAATTTATTCTGGCTTGGCGTGTGGGTGTTCTCCCTAGTATTTTTGTTAATATCTGTTCCATTTCTTCTGTCCATAATGGATCACTGAATGTTTCTTCAGGAGTTGGAAGAACAGGAAGTTTCGAAAGATCCTCGGTATTTGGTTCAGGCTGTGAAGGTTGAACAGGAGTTGTTGTTTCAGGGATCGGTGAAGGTTTTGAAATATCTGTAGGTTTGGGAGGCTCGATTATAACAGGTGGAAGAGGGGGTTGTTCTCCTTTTTGCTGATCTTGTGAAACAGGTTTTGTTGGAGAGGTATAACCAGGTAGAGACTTTAAAGGAGAAGTCTGTTGAGTAGGCATTGTGGGAGGGATTGATGGTGTTGCTGGAGGGTGTATGTCTGTGTACGTTGGTAGAGGTGGGGGCCTGTAAGGTTCATCTTTTGCCTCTTTATCTCTAGCAATTCCTTCAAACTCAAGTGCCCTAAATCTATCCATTCTATAATTGACAAGTCTTTTAAGTCCATCGATTTTAGTATTTAATTCCTTCTTTCGATCTTCATCTGTTTCCTCATCATACAAAGTTTTTGTATTAGAAATTTCCTGATATGTAGCGATCAACCCGTAAAAATTACTTCGTATTGCTGGCCAATAATCAGGGTTATCGCTGAAAAATTTATCAACATAGCCTTTATGGGTTATATAGTTCTCTCTGTTATATTGCTTAACAGTTTTTTGTTTGTCCCTTCTTAGTACAGCAGCATCAAGTAAATTTACTCTTTTAGTCATTCTTTCAATTTCTTTCTTGAATCTTGGTAAAAATCCCTCCAATTGTAAAGGTGTTTCCCTTTTATCTTCTATGAAGAGAGCTATTAGTTTGAGATGGTCTATAATTAATATTTCATTGTAATTTTCGGGGTAGGTTTCGAAAAAATCTACAACAATATTAACATCTGAATTGTTCTTTTCAAAATCCCTTCTTTTTGCTTCCTCTTCCAATTTTCTAATTCGAGATTCTAAAGCACTCCTTTTGTAACTAAGGTTCCAAAATGTTGTTGTCATTTCACTTTTAATTGTCTCATCTTGTTGTTGATCTGTTCTTAATTTAAATTCATCTAAAGATTTTGAATCCTCTACAAGTTTATCTTTTAAAATTTTTATTTGGTCCCAATATTGATCAGGATAATCTATGAACACTTCATCAACTTTAGGAATGATCCCCACTCTAATTTGCCTTAACTCTTCTAATGAACGTTTATTCCTTGGGCGTTTAAGTGAGGGCAGATCAACTAAATCTTCAGGTTTTTCCAAAGGCGAAGCTCCATAAGTTTCGCTTTGATGTTGAAGTGTGGAAATTAAAAATTCATGTAATTTCTCAACTGAAGTATGAGAAGCCTTTGGAACTGGAACTCGTAAGACTCTGCCCATTCCAAGATTATCTTTAAAATGTATATCAATCCATTGATCATCTAGTGTACCAATAGTTGCTGCCCATGAATATGGATAATTTATACTATGTAATCCACAGACCCAGTTACCAGAAAAATAGAGAGGCTTTGGTAAATGAACTCGAAATTTATTTGGACGATTATCTGGATAATCGGGAATATTGCTAGGTAGGAAGACAAAAAAGCTGTTTGACATAATTTTATCACAACAAAATTTACAATAATGAAAAAAATGTTTTCTTTTATACTAATTGTGATTCATGAATCCATTCTCGTTCTGGGTATCCTATAAATTTAACTAGAACATCAAAGGTTCCGTCTGGTCTCTTTCTTTTTCTCACAACTTTTTCAATTCTATATTCTGTATCGGCATCTTTTCTTACACGAGTTAACTCTTCATTGTAAAATAAACCTTTGAATTTTTCACCTTTATCGTCGCGGACTTTGTATTGAATAGGCAAAGGGGTTTCTTTTATTTTATCCACTTGTAATATTTCATCTCCCCAATTTGGTATGTATCCTTTTTCAAATGCACCTTTTTCTACACTCATTCGTACAAAATCATCCTTTTTAAGTTTTGGTTTTGTTTTATTATTTTTTGAAGAAAACATGTCTCCATAGATTCGTTTCCATACATTTTGAGCGTTATCAAAATTGACATCTATAGGTCGCATTCCATGAATTCTACTTTTTGCTTTATTTATTCCTTCTAAAATCCTTTCAAGGACATCAATCCAATTTAATGTTTTCTTTTGAGCAAAATTTCGGTAAAGTCGTTGTTTAACATTTCGAATTGCTCTTTCCGCAACGGAAGCTTTGACGATAGAATGTGTTGGCTCATGTTTTTCTATCCCCTCCTTTTCAAAAAATTCTTTCATTTGTTTATTTTTAAATTCGGTCCCCTTATCTGAAAAAATCCTTTGAGGTTTCATTGGCATTTGTGAAAATAAATTTTTAAAAGCTTCTATCATTTCTTCAGTCTTTTTGGATTTGACAGGAACACCAAACACTCGTTTAGATAGAACATCAATACCTAGAAGCAAATAACGATTTCCTTTATTATGTCTGGATAACTGTTGGAAATCTGCCAAATCAACTTGAACATCTGTCATAAACCCAGCAGCTACAGTTTTTGATCTTTTAAAATGAATACGTTTAGGTCGCATAAGAGTATATGTTCTATGTCCTTCTAGGTAATGTTGAATAGCTTTTCTTGGTATATGTTTGAGAACTTTACGTGCTTCATACCAAAGTCGGTCAATTCCTGAAAATGCCGCAGGGGATTCTGGGTTATTGTATAGATCATCAAGGAGTTTAGTATAATCCGCCATTTATTTACCAAAGAGATGGTTTAAAACTGATGATATCTTTTTGTGTCGGTTTCCTTACTGCCCATTTACTTTTTGATTTATAAACATTTCTTTTCTTCAGATTTTTAACCCATAATCTTGAAGCTCTTTGAGATTGTTTTTTGTTGACTTTTCTCTGGACTTTAGCAATTGTATGTCCATCTCCTTGTGACCATTCTGCTTTTCGTTTTATTTTTTGACGACTCAAGGGTGGGGAGGGAGATCTTCCCTCTCTCATTACCTTTCTAAAGCCTTTTGGTGCACCACTTTTTTCTTTATTACGTACTTGTTGAATAACATAAGGGTCTAAAGGAACCTTGAGTTTCTGTGACTTTCGTCGTCTTGCTAATAATTGTTGCCTTTTTTCATATCGTTTCCTATCAAGTTCCTTCAATTTATTCTCTTTTTGTTTTATTTCTTGTTCCCTTCTGTTGTCATAAATCTTTTTCCTCTTTTTATTTTCAAATTCACCCTGCTCTAATTCTCTTTTAATAATTCGTTGTTGCGGTGAGACATGAGATGATATTATTGGCACATCTTGGGATAATATAATAGAGTCTTGACTCCCTGTTTTTGAATATTTTGTACTTTTGCGTCGTGAAAATTTTTTCTTTGGTTCAGACACAATTTCCTTTTTGTGTCTGAAAAAAAATCGATATGTCAACACCGTTAACTACCTCTTGTACTAACAACAAAAAATTAAAACTGCATCAATTATCTAAAAAACTTTCTAATTTCTCTGAACAATTTTCTACCGATATTCCTCCTTGGGCTACTGCAATGCTTGAAATTGTTAATTCTGTTATGGATCTCTGCAAAGACATTCTTACAACAGAACCAGAACAAGAAACTATTAAACCTGTTCCTAAATTTCGCTTTGGTGATCCACATTCTGCAACCAATGAACAACAAAATAATTCTTTCACTAATCAATCGTATTTCACCAATATTTTAAACAACGCTATATTAGACGCTGAAGAAATTAAGTCTAAGTCAAAGAGGGTCGTTATTGAACGTGCCCCAGAAAATGAAGACATTAATTCTTTAATTAAAAAAATTGCTGCCGATAGTGGAGTTTCTGCTGATCTTGTGGAAAAAGAAATTCATCGACATCCAAATCGTGAGTCTTCTGAAGGTATAAATAAGAAACCAAGGATTGTAAAAATTCCATTTGCCAATAAAAAGTCTAGGGATATCTTTTTATATAATTTTCGTAAATGTTTAAAGAAAAATCCAACTTTTCCGCAGTTTTTAACTGCAAGACGTGATATGACTCGTAACGAATTAAATATATTGTATAACTTGCGAAAGCAAGCATTTTCTATGAATCAGGCCGAGAACATGTTTAAGTACATTGTTGTCGATCTGTCAATAATTACACTCAAAAATCCACAACCGCTCAGGGCAATCAAAAATAAATAGGGACACGCAGGCAAACCGCAGTCAAAAATAAATACCGGAAATTTTCAATCATATAAATGTTTATTATTTAATTCTAGATCCCTAGCTAATAAAATACCGGATTTAAATCAATTAATCGAAAATTCTAATCCACATATTATATTAATCAATGAAACATGGCTCACAACAGAAAATACAATAAACTCTGAACTTTCATATATGGGCAATTATGAGATTATATTAGCTAATAGAATAGGAAAAAGAGGGGGAGGATCGGCAATCCTATTAAAAAATAACATACCGTTTAAAATAATTTTCAATGGCTCTAAATTCCAATCGGAGATAATCCATATAAAATTATTTCTCAAAAAAGAAATTAGCATTATAAACATTTACCGCCCACCAAATAGTTCAATTATTAATACAAAAAAATTATTTAAGTTTCTTTTAAATCAAACTGATCAAAAAACAATATTATGCGGAGATTTTAATATTAAACACATAAATTGGGATTCCAAAGAATTAACTGACAACTATGATAAGATCGCAAATATGTTTTTGGAGTTTATAGGTCAAAATCAATTAAATCAACTTGTTACTGAACCGACTAGGGAAAATTCAATCCTGGACCTTGTACTCACACCTGCTTCCAATTTAATAAGAAATGTTAATGTTAGGGAGAATTTTTCAACTTCTAATCACAGAATGATAGAGTTTGAGTTATATGAGCAGATCAGAGTAATTAAAAAACCAAAAATTTATGTCAGAGATTTAAGCAAATCCAATTTTATTAATTTGAATCAAGTTATATTTGAAAATAATTTAGATCTAGGTATATTAACAAAGTTCACTGTGGAAGATAAATATAATTTTCTGACAAAGGAATTGTTATATCTTTATAACAAATATATACCGATGAGAACCTTGAATAAGATAATAAGGAAGACATACCCCAAACGGATTAAGGAATTACACAAAGAAAAACTTAGATTATTCAGAGTCCTTAAAGAAAGAAAACATGATCATAACTTAAGACTTGAGTATAAAATCGTTTCAAAAAACCTGAAAAAACAATTAAAAATTCATCATAATACTAAGGAAGAAAAAATAATAAGTAAAGGTGGAAATTCAATACATAAGTTTATTAGAAACAGACTTACTCAAGATAATAACATACCCTGTTTAATTGATAAAGAAAATAAATTTTACTTCAGTAATGAAGAAAAATGTAATATTTTAGGAAAAGAATTTCAAAAAAACTTTCAAAATAAAAATATTAATATATCAAATTATAACAGAAATATAATTCCGAAAACAAAACTTTCAGACATAGATCTAAGCACTAGCATTGTGTGGGATGTCCTTAGATCACTTCCTAATCGTAATTCAACTTCGCCAGATAACATTCCTTATATATTATTAAAATATTGCGCTGACTCACTTGCAAAAATAATCACAGATATCTTTAGATGTATTATTGATAATAAGCAAATTCCATCTATTTGGAAAACATCACTAATTATACCACTTTTTAAAAAGGGAGAAAAATCAGATCCAAAAAATTATCGACCAATATCGCTAACATGCACCTTATGTAGGATACTTGAAAGAATTATTGCACAGCAATTAACAAAATTCCTAGAAGATAATAAGTTCTTTAATAAAAATCAGTTTGGATTTCTTAAACAAAGGTCCACAACCACACAGTTATTATCTACCATGGATGATTTATATAATGCAATACAAGATGGATATAATATAGATATTATTTACATCGACTTTGCTAAAGCATTTGACACTGTACCAATAAATATTCTTTTAGATAAAATAGAAAGTGCAGGCATAAGTGGAAAAGTATACTCATTTCTTAAAAACTTCATATCGGCTAGAAATTTCAAGATTAAGATAGGTGACCAATTATCCCACAACTATGAAACATTCTCAGGTGTACCTCAAGGAAGTGTCCTAGGACCACTTTTATTCCTTATTTTTATAAATGATCTTCCTAATGAAATCCCCGAAAATGTTGGAGTAAAACTATACGCAGACGATGTAAAACTATATATAGCTCATAAAAACGGCATAGAAAGAGAACAACTAAATAAAGCTTTAAGAATACTCGAGAAATGGACGGAATTAAATGGTTTAGAAATATCCCCTAGCAAATGCTTTGCTTTATATCTAGGTAAAAATAACATGAAAAGAGAATATATCATACATGGATTAAAAGTACAAGAAACAGAATGTATTCGTGATCTTGGAATATTAATTGATTCAAAAATAACATTTAACAATCATATAAACATGATCATAAAAAACGCATATTTAAAAAGCTCCCAAATAATAAGAATCATTAAATCTAGAAATTTAAATCTCCTCGTTAATATATATAAGACATATATAAGACCCCAACTAGAATACGCAACTGAAGTATGGAATCCACAGATGAAATATCAAATAGAGAAAATTGAAAAAATTCAAAAACTATTCACTAAAAATATTTACAAAAAATGTGGTTTAATCAAGGTCCCATATGAAGAAAGATTAAATACTTGTAAACTCGAAAAGTTAATAGATAGAAGAAAAATTGCCGATCTTTCCACCGCTTTTAAAATTATAAAAGGTTTTACATCCCTTAATTCCCAAAAATATTTTAATTTATCAAATAGATCTCTTCGCAGGCCTCTACTTCTTAGGACAAAAAAATATACAAATAAAACAAAAAATAATTTTTTTCACAGAGTGGTGAATAACTGGAATAATCTTCCAAATGAGCCATTTAAAATAAATGATCCGAAAAAATTTAGAAGCTCATTAAAATCTAATAATTAAAGTAAAATAATAAAGACATTGAGCCCTGGCGTGTGTGGTTTTTAGAGTGTTTGTTTACTATTTATATATTTTTTTTTTCATTTCATTTTTTTTTGTTGTTGTCTCACATATTTTCTTTAATTTGTATTTTTATGTTTTTTATGCACCACTTTAATGTATTTTAAAATACCTGTGGTTTGCTGATAAATAAATAAATAAATAAATTATTATTTTAGAATTTGTAGTTGGAGGTACCGGAGTAGAAGGTGGTGAGCTTTTCCTCAATTTCTTAAAACGTTTTTTAACTGATGTGGATGATGATGATAAAGATGGAGGATGAGGTAGTTTTTGGGGTTTGAAATTAATTATCGATTTAACATCTTTAGTAGATTGAAGAAAAGATGGAAGAGAAATATCATCAGTTGTCAATATTTCATCATCATCTTCGACTATGTTAGACGATGGACGTGTAGAATTGGTACTCATTATTGCTCCCTTAGGCGTAGCTACCATTTCTACTTTAACAGGCCTATTTTGTTGCTCATTTCTCATTTGTAAATACCGCCTGAGTTCTTGGTTATATTTTACATTTTTTGCACTTGGATTATCTTTCTTTCTTTTAATTTTTTCAAGATCATTTCTAATTAAATCGAGATTAGGTTCACCGGTATCAAAAGTAGTTAGTCCTTTATAAATTTCTTCGGGAACAAGAATGAATTTATTTGCCATGATTTGTTATTTTTTGTATTATTTATCGCTTTTTATAGAGCTTCCAAGTGATTTTGCTAATTCTATGAGAACAGGGGTCAATAACGCAGCAAAAGTTCCAATACCTCCACCTTTTTGATTTATAATTTTTCTAGCTCCGTGTTCACTTCTTACTCTACTCATTTTCCGCACAAAATCAGCATATGGAAGTAGTCGTTTCTTTTGAAAATTTGTAAGTTTGAGTCTATCCTTTATAATATTCAGACAAATTTCAGTTATAGCTAACAACTGATTTGTATTTGAGAGTCTTAGCATACGTTGCAATTTGCGTTGAGATTTTGTTTTTGCAAGAACTTGTAAAAATTTTGAATTTTTCTGAATAATTTGACTGACCATTTATGCTCTATTTTTTGGGATAAAAATAATTTTTTCTTCGTCTTCTTTAAATATACTTGTGCGTAGTCTCAGTCCAGGGTCAGATGAAGCATGCATATCAATAACAAGATAACCAAAAGGTTTATTTGTTGCCTGTCTATATGCATCGAGGAAATAGTCGAGTTTTTGGGGAAATAGTTGGACGCCTATATTACGAACAGATAAGACAGAGTTAGGAGAACGCATTATAATAATATATTGAGCATTTTGTCTTGCAACTTTAATTTTACGTTCGAATAGATTCTGAGTAACAAAGACGACAGCAAAATTTTGATGATGGGATTTTTTTGTAAATAGCTCGGACAAATATTTTTCATCAATTGACATAAGCAAGTCGTCAAGTATTAATAGTAATGGTTTCTGATATTTTTTAATCAAATCCTCGGGGGGAACACCGGAATAAACACTGACACCTGATTTCTGTAGAATAGGGACAATATTACTCATTTCACCAAAACAATAGAGTATACTTTTAGGTTTGGGTTCAATTAAATTTGAGGCTTCAGAAATAAATCTCAGTAATAATGTACTCTTTCCACTAGAACTAGGACCAGAAATTATCATACCAAAAGGAATTTTAAATTTCAAATCTTTATCTGAAAATGTTAAAGTTTCCATTTTAATTAATTGAAAAAAATTAAAA